TGAAGCATAACCCATAAATGAAATTAACACACTGCTCACCAAATTTCACATAGCCATTTTGTCTTTAAATATCAAGAAACCTTGAGTTCTCAACCCTTTGGCTCGGTGCTATGGATATCGCAACCATTGGCCTTGATTCCATAAGTAAAAACCGTACCGTAAATCTGGTAAAAATTAGGCTTCTCTGACTACCCCGGGCGTGACCTATATCGTGTCTTCCTTGTAACTCTAAAAAGTCGTTTTTAAATAGTGCAAATACCACCATTGCTTCTGATATCATAACTAACAACGGTCTTCATATTTCTTCTCGTGTCTCAACATATTATTCTCTGACTGAATACCTTACATTTTTTATTATTGGCTGTTTCAGGAAATTCAACAAAGCCGGCAGTTTGGTTGACAATCTCCTGCAAAGACTGGAGAAATACAGCAGCAACCTGGAGAAGATTGTCGATGAGAAAGTGAACGAGCTGAGACAAGAGAAACATAAATCTGAGGAGCTGCTCCGACAAATGCTGCCCAGGTAATCATACACACAACAATAGTTTGTAATCAAGAAAGAATAGAAATCATACACATGGCTACACTTCAAACTTAAGTGTTCTGGTAATATTACCCATAATCACAATCAAGTGAAATATTTTGTGTATATACTCCCTACTTATCTGCTTGGCTTCAAGGTCCCCAAGCCTAAATGGCTACAAGGAAGTAAAGGCGGGTAGCGTGACCACATCACCAACGGACTGCCGGCCAAGTGATCTAAACAACAGAGGTCAAGCACTATATGCACAAAGCGCCTAATACGTTAAAAAGCTCCCCTTACTTATTGCTTAGTTATACTCACTGCATAAAGCAAATTAACTGTCATGTAACTGATTTTATTAGTTTGTCAATGTACTGTTATGTAATTTAATATTAACATTACCTCCAATTATACTTACGAAACAAATGTCCTAATTAGACAAACATCGACACGTACCTGTCAAGATTGTCGCATTGGCAGTCTCGTTTTTTTTGCTCTTGCTGGAGTTTACATTTATTATTGATCCCTTTCTTCATTGGTGCAGATACCTCAGAGCTCAGGCATCTTGAATCCCCCACCCTGAGTAATTCTCAGAAGTCCCTCCTACCCCACATAACAAATGTACAAGTAGTTTGGTGTCACACCTCCAACCATAAATAGACGTTTGCTTTGAAGTCTTTGTTTATACATTTGATTACTTACAATAAATGATTACATTTTTAAAAATTTCAGCACATACAAGTTAGTTAGTTAGTTAGTTAGTTAGTTAGTTAGTTAGTTAGTTAGTTAGTTAGTTAGTTAGTTAGTTGGGTTATCCTCATTGCACTCCGGACATGTCCATAGGTGCTCAGATCCTCCTCTCAATATGAACCCCAACGTCCGATAGCTAATAGTACCAGTTCTATGTTGATTAACAAGTCTTCTGGCGTAGCTGGTGTGCGTCTCGTTTTTTGCTGTGCCGATCTTAATTCCCAAGTCTGCCATTCTGGCGAGTGATGTGGATTCACTGCCACCAAAGTCCTCTATTCTTCCCATTTCTCTGAGGGCATTGATAATATCAGCATGATCCATAGGCTGACCGTCGGTAGTGATAGCGGATCCAGCCAACCTGTCAGCTCTTTCATTTCCATTGACGCCTGCGTGTCCCGGAACAAAAATAATGGTGACTCCACGAACAGTGGACTTCTGTAATGATTCAAGCCATTGTCTTCGCACCGGATCATACTCATTGAATCACTGAGTATACACACGCGGGTGTATTTTTGTGTTTCAAGCCAGGCAAGCGCTTGTGTCACTGCCATCACCTCCATCGTCATGCTGCTGGTTGTCACGGAGAAGGCGCCGTTGGCTTCTTTGACTGTTCTGTCCGCTGAGCGTGCTGTAAATGCCCATGCGCTTCTTCTTTGGCGTATAACGGATCCGTCTGTATAGATTATTGCATCTGCTTCGTCTGAATTTTCACCGATGAGAGCGTTGACCTCTGCATTAACAGCAACAGGATTCTCTTCTCTACATCGCCTGTTGAGTGTGACAATACAGGAAAATGTACAAATAAACGCCTGAGGCACAGGTATCCATTCTGCACCAGGTATGATGTCGGTTAGGCTGCATATTTGCCTAATAACATCTTCTGCCCGACCTAGCCACGATTTCCCCTTCTTCAGTCTGTCGCCCTTTTCACTAAAAAGCGC